ACACACACACACATATATATATATACACACACACACGTGTGTGTATACAAACAATTGTTTAAAGTTATCCTTAAAAAGCATCAAAGAAGATGGGCACAAGCTCACACTACTCAGGAGGCTGAGATCTGAGGATGGTGGCTCAAAGCCAGTTAGGGCAGAAAAGTTCCCATGAGACACTTAATCTCCAATTAACCACTCAAAAACCAGAAGTGCCACTGTGGCTCAAGGGGTAGAGTGCTAGCCTTGAATCCAAACAGGCTCAGGGACAGCACTCAGGCCCTGAGTTCAAGCCTCACAAACAACCAAAAAGAAAAAAAATGAATCAAAGATTTAAAGTCTAAGCATTACATAGTAGGAGAAATAATTATCAAGAAATCCTGAGTATGGTAATATATGCCTGTAATAACAACAGGAGCTTGAGAGATAAGTAAAGGTGGCCAACTGCTAATGGCTCATGCCTATAATCCTAGCTATCCAGGAGGCTGAGATCTGAGGGCTGAAATTCAAAGCCAGCCAGGGCAAGAAAGTCTTTGAGACTCTTATCTCCAATTAACCACCAAAAAACCAGAAGTAGAGCTACAACTCAAAGTGCCTAGCATTAGCCTTGAGCAAAAGAGCTCAGGGACAGTGTCCACATACTGAGTTTAAGCCCCAGGACTAGGGGGAGGGAGCGAGAGGGAGAAAGAGGGAGAGGGAGAGGGAGAGGGAGAGAGGGAGAGAGAGAGTGTTCAGGGACAGGCTGGAATGGAAAATACTGAGAACTGAGACTTTATCAACAAAAGAAGGAAAGGGGTAAAAGAAAGAGAGAAGAGAATGAAGGAGAAAAAAGGGAGAGAAGAGAGAGAGGGTGGGGGAAAACTTAAAAGTGTAATTTGAAAGAAAATTCACTGAATATATTTATTCATGAATTGATGTTTGCTTAAAGACTGACACCTACAGTAATTATTCATGAAAAGAATATTTGGTATTGGAGATGTGGCTCAAATGGTACAGCTTCTGCCCAGATTGGGGGGGGGGGGCGAGGAGCAGGGGAACAAGCAAGAGCTTGAGTTCAAGTACCAGTATTGCCACACACATACACAAAGAGTGCTGGAGGCTAGAAGAGTGTTTCAAGAGTGCTTGCCTAGAAAGCTTGAGGCTCTGAGTTCAAGTCCTAGTACCAAAAGCTGTGGCATAGAGAGCATCAATATATACATTTTAACACTGACATATACATACTGATAAATATACATACATATAGTTGCATATATATTAACTCTTTATTTTGCTCATATCACTTTTATAAAGTAAAAATAGGAAAATTTTGACATTACAAAAGGAAAAAGTAATAGGACATGTATTAGACACACTTTCCTAAGGTGAAATATGAGACAAAAATTTGGATAGAGAAATATTATATATATATATATGGAGAAATAGGATGAAATTGCTGATGAGAATGGATATGAATGAAACTGTGAGCCTCTAAAATCATGAGACTAAGGCCTCAAATAGAACAGAATGTGTTTCTTTAACGGCAACAACCTATAAATCCCAAGTAGAGAGTTCAAGAATTGTAAGAATAGGCTGTAGTAGATTCATGAACCTCCACAACTCACTCAAATTGAGGACTTTATAGATCTCTTTTATAAATGTCTAAATATTTTTAGATTAAAGGATAAAAGCTTAAAAAGTGCTAAAGACTAAGCAAATACACATTTTTTTCTATAAAATCAGTTCACTATACTTCAAAGTTTCAGTTCTCTCTCAGTACAAAATAACTACTACGTACATAAAACATACATATATACATAAAACACCTATTTGTTATGGAATAACCCCTGGTTCATTCAATTTGCAATGAACTAACTCCAAAAACTACAATTTGTGGCAAGTATATGTGAAGTGAAAAAAACAATTCCAAGTTTCAAAATTTGCTCTTAAATTAGAACACTCAAATCATTTTTCCTTCAGTAAGATGTTTTACTATCATCTGATTATTGGTCTACTTTTGTACAGGAATTACTAGGGTGTGTGTGTGAGAGAGAGGTGGGGGAGAAAGAGAGATAGAGCTAGAGTCTTGCTATCTAGTTCAGGCTGGCAATGA